GCTTCTAAACTGTTGTATTCTGAGCACCTCTGCAAAAGCAGTGATAATGTGTGAGTGTGGTGAAAGTGTTGAATGATGATGAAAGTATTTTCTTTTTGGGGATTTTCTTTCTTTTTTGGGTCACCCTGCCTCGGTGAGAGACGACCGACTTGTTGAAAAAAAAAAAAAAAATTGTAGAACATAAGTATCGCTCTGCACATTAATACACCTTTTTCTACAGAGTGATTATTTTTTGCCAACTTCAACACAACACAAAACTGTTAGCTTTCTTCTGATTTAATTTTTCTTGTTTGAGTTCTGTTTAGAAAAACTTTCATTTTTTCAGCTTCATCATACATGAGGAATTAAAAATGCATGACCTGCCACAGTTAAGGGGTTAAAGCAAGAAATAGTTACATTTTGAATAAATATTCAGTCATTGTAGTGTTGCTTGTTGTCTCTGCCATTGGTAACTCATGGCCTTTAATTATTCAACAATGCTGTATTGAGCACTGATTTTCTCTTGCTTTCTATGTAGTATCCTTAAAAGTAGCTTTTTAACATTTACATCAACTACAATATTCACTTCTCATAAATGAATGGGAGAGAATTAAGATAGTGTTTCTTAGCTTCATCTGCACAATGTTTTGGTAAAGTATTATTACTCGACCTCTCACACACCTGCTACTGACTCACTCTCTCCTATATTAGTTTAATGTATGGAAGAGTAGTCAAAACACACTTTTATCTCTCCACCATTTGTAAAATAAACTATTAATTTGAATGCACAAATGACAATTCTATTATGCTCTCATTTGTTTATTTTTCATGATATAGGTGTAGCTACAATCCTATTATCTTCAGGTGACATCTTACTGCAACAAAAAAAATCAATCATTGTATTAACTCCCTGAAGAACTTGTAAAAGACTAATGCTGTCTGTCTTCTGCCACCCACACCATCTTACCCTTTTCTTTCCCATTCATGCCACTCAGCTGAACTTTTTTGGTTAAATGTATAAATAATAGATCTGGGTTGTTGTTATGGTAAAATTGGACAAAACACTCTTGAAAAATGGTAGACCACTGCATAATAAAAATATTGCTAGGGCTCTTATCTTGTAAGTTAAATGCAAGAACTATGATCCTAACCCTTGTAGCAACCTTCTTTTGGCTCGATGGTAAATGCCATAGGGAAATAATTGTAATAACAGAAATTTCCCAACTTCCCTAAAAATCAGAGTCAAGTCTACCTATTGTGTGCCTTATAGTAGAGGAACTCGTAAACCTGGAGAGGGTTTCAGGGGTCAATGCCCCTACAGCTCGGTTTGAGACCAGGTCTCATGGTGGATCAGGGTCTCATCAACCAGGCTGTTACTGCTGGCTGCATGCAAACTGACATACGAACCACAGCCCAGCTGTTCAGGTATTGACTTTAAGTACCTGTCCAGTGCCTTCTTGAAGACAGCCAGGGGTCTATTGGTAATCCCCCATATGTATGCTGGGAAGCAGTTGAACAGTCTTGGGCCCCTGACACATGTGTTGTCTTCCAGTGTACTCGTGGCACCCCTGCTTTTCATTGGGGGAATATTGCTTTTCCTGCTGAGTCTTTTGCTTTCATAAGGAGTGATTTTCATGTGCAAATCTGGTACTAATCCCTCTAGGATTTTTCAAGTGTATATTATCATGTATCTCTCTTGCCTGCATTCCAGGGAATACCATTCTTGGGACTTCAATTATTCTCAATAATTTAGGTGCCTTACAGTATTTATATATGCCATGAAAGTTCTTATACATTCTCCAGGTCAGCAATTTTGCCTGTCATGAAAGGGGCAGTTGTGTACAGCAGTATTCCAGTCTTAGAGAGAACAAGCGATTTGAAGAGAATCATCATGGGCTTGGCATCCTTAGTTTTGAAGGTTCTCATTATCCATCCTATCATTTTCCTAGCAGATGCAGTAGATACATTGTTGTAGTCTTTGAAGGCGAGATCTTCTGACATTATCAGTCCTAGGTCCTTCACATTACTTTTTCGCTCTATTGTATGGTTAGAATTTGTTGCATACCCTGATACAGTTTTAATTTCCACAAGTTTTCCATATCTGAGTAGTTGAAATTTCTCTTCATTGAACTTCATATTGTTTTGAGTGGTCCATTTGAAGATTTGGCTGATGTCTGCTTGGAGTCTTTCTGTGTCTTTGATGGAGGACACTGTCCTGGCAATTTGAGTGTCATCCGTGAAAGAAGACATGGAGCTATGGCTTACATCTCTCTCTGTCAGGTATGAGGATGAGGAATAGAATGGGAGTGAGTACTGTGCCTTGTGGAATAAAGCTTTTCACTGTAACTGCTTCAGACTTTACTCTGTTTACTATTACTCTTTGTGTTCTGTTTGTCAGGAAATTATAGATCCATCTACCAACTTTTTCTGTTATTCCTTAATCACGCATTTTATGTGTTGTTACACCGTGGTCACACTTGTCGAAGGCTTTTGCAAAATCTGTGTATACTACATCTGCATTTTGTTTATCCTCTATAGCATCCAGGACCTTGTCAAAGTGGTCCAGTAGCTGGGACAGGCAGGAGCGACCTGCTTTAAACCCGTGTTGCCCTGGGTTGTGTAATTGATGGGTATCTACGTGTAGGTGGTTGGCGATCTTGCTTCTTAGAACCCTCTCAAAGATTTTTATGATATGGGATGTTTGTGCTATCGTTCTGTAGTTCTTTGCAGTTGCTTTACTGCTATGTTTGTTTTTTTTAGAAAGAGTGGGATGACTCTTGCATCCATGCTCCCTCTCCATAGAATGCTGAAGGCACATGACAAGGGCTTCTTGCAGTTCTTGATGAACACTGAGTTCCATGAGTCTGGGCCTGGGGCAGAGTGCATGGGCATATCATAGACTGTTTTCATAAACCTGACTTAGTCTTCTACATGTATGCATGCATACATATGCTCCAGCACTCTCAGGAGATTCAGAGAGGCCCTGAGCTATTTCCAGCTTTTTACATCCCTGGCCTAAATACAGTTTCATGTTTTGCCCTGAGGGACAAATTTATTGGGTAATGACACTCATCCAATGAGTGGAAATGCCGTCTTGCAGGCAGTACATTATCACTCTCCAAATTTCAAAAAAAGAAGACACATGAAAGCATAATGAGATCATGTGCTTCAAAATATAACATTAGTATTTTTCATTAAAAAACTGACCTTTACCAAAATATTATAATTATTTTGAGAAGTTATAATTATTTTGGAAAAATTAACTTTTTTGCAATGTCACAGTTGCTATTAAGTATGTCAAAGCCATGCCAGTACTTTGTCCCATAAATGCTTGATGATAGATCTTTAAATTATTTCAACACATTGAAGGTGTTTTCTTCTGAAGCTGTTGTTTCTGTTACTGATAAAAATATACAATGAAATTGTGATATTAGGAAACACTGCATGGTTTTCTAAACCATTCATCACATCTGTCAGACACTGCAACATCATGGGATCTTGGTACAAAGACTTCAACGCTTGCCCAACCTTTGGACGACGACCTACTTACACTAGTGGCAGGTCCTACTGTGATCCCGCCTCCTCCTTGCCCAACCTTTGGACGACGACCTACTTACACTAGTGGCAGGTCCCACTGTGATCCCGCCTCCTCCTGCTTCACCTCATCTCACTGCAGTATATAAGCCACCTCTCTGGCCCTATGCTGCATTTCCTACAAGAGTGATGGACTGAACACATCGATTCCAGGTTGAGGGACTGATTACCTCAAACTTCTCCTCTCCTTACCCATTTCTACTTTGTATTGGACTGATGAAGCCACTGTGTGGCGAAACGTTTCTTCAATAAAGATTCCCATGTGTTGCATAAGTGTCTCAATTCTTCAACTTGTCTGTTTTCTAAACCATTCATCATATAACTTCTCCCTCTCCCGTCCTCGCCGTCTTTCATACGCCAACAAAAGTCTTCAATAAAGTTAAAAGTAATGTTAAATGTTCATTTATCCATTTCATTAGTCCTTTATATTTATTTCTCATTGTTTTCTGTATGTAAAATAGTGATTCTCTGTAAAATGTATTTTTCGTTAATACTTTTGGGTGTCTGGAATGGATTAATTGGATTTACATTATTTCTCATGGGAAATATTGCTTCAGTTTTCGTCGAATTCAGTTTTCGTCACTTTCTGGAATGAATTAATGACGAAAACCGAGGTTCCACTGTATTAGTATTTGAGGACTCCTTTGAGTTTGAAGACTGACTGGGCCAAATAGCACCCCTTCTACCTGGACTATTGTAGGTGACTATTGAGGGCCCCACATACACAGTGGGTTAGGTTTTGGGCTACTGCTGTAAAGTGAAACATAGCCTGTTAACATGTTTACACTATCATACATTAAGTGAGCTAGGGCTAAAAAATACATATACTTTATACACATTATTTACTCTAAAATATTTTCATCCTTAGCTTATAGTGAATGATGAATATATTTATTGAAGTAAGTCTGAATAAATGAAAAATGGGTATAATTGAAAATGGCTGCATTAGCAAAACGCCGTAAAGCGAAGCTCTGTAAGGCAGGGCCTATGGTAATCTTTTTTTTTTTTCCTTTTCCCCCTCACATATCTTCTTTTTTCTCTTCTAGTTAGAATTATAGCTTAAACTTAAAAAATAGACAAGCAAAAATATAATTTTAGGATCAAATTTCAGTACATTGAGATAGATAAACAGGGAAGAATATTTCAGATATGGAGAACTATTTAAGTTTATTATATTATGTACTGTAATAAGCTGAAGATATTAAATATTATATCCTTACAGATGTCTTTTTATATTCTTTAGTTGTGCATTCTGTGATTAAGTATTTTGTTTTGTGCATTCTTTGTTTTAATTAAGTTAGTGCAGCAATTCTTTCCAACATGTAAATTGAAAAGAAATAATTTCAAGGATAAAATAATTTGCAAAAGTCTCTCAGCTGGAGCAGTTGCGCTCATTTTGCTAATGCTTCTCCACCTCTCCTGAACAGTCGCAAAGCATCTGCTGAGGGAAGACCTGACCTAGACAACAGTGGTAACAATGAAGGAGAGAGCTCAGGAGGTCAGGAAGTGACACCAGTTGTATACTCCTTTATGGTGGAGGAGTGCATATTGGCAGCCTACACAGCACGATCTGTGCCCTGTCCTCTACATGCAGATTTGCTTTTGGCCCAAATTGCTCCTGACACAGTATGTGTATAGTCTTTGCTTTTTTTTTTATTTTTATTTTTTTTCTCCCAACAAACCAGCCGTATCCCTTTCCCCCCTCCCCCCCCCCAACAAACTGGCTGTATCCCACCAAGGCAGGGGGGGCCCAAAAAGAAAAACAAAAGTTTCTCTTTTTACATTTAATAATATACAGTGGACCCCCGCATAACGATTACCTCCGAATGCGACCAATTATGTAAGTGTATTTATGTAAGTGCGTTTGTACGTGTATGTTTGGGGGTCTGAAATGGACTAATCTACTTCACAATATTCCTTATGGGAACAAATTTGGTCAGTACTGGCACCTGAACATAATTCTGGAGTGAAAAAATATCGTTAACCGGGGGTCCACTGTATACAGGAGAAGGGGTTACTAGCCCCTTGCTCAGTCTTTGCTTCTGTTATTCATATTTTAGGCTAATTTATGTCAGGCATAAATTAGAAATGGTCACCAAAGAAATCTGTATGACTTAAATCACTAAAATAGTTTCACCGAATTTGCTGTGTAAAGATGTTATACAATATTAAAATACATTTTGCTGCAATTATAATATTAAAATAGAGTATATTTTACAGTTTTTTTTTTTTCTCTCTCCAGGTATTTCTGGATTTGGGTGACAGGTACCTCGTTCGCCCGGAAGTAATCAAACAAGGGAAGTTGTTGGGACGTGGTGGCTTTGGCTTTGTCTTCCAAGGCACGTGTCGAAACAGAGTCAATGGTGGACCTATGGATGTAGCCCTAAAAATGTTACAACCTGTTGATCCTGGCAGTAATGCCCGTCAAAGTGCCATTGTTGCATACAAGGTAAACTTTTATCATGACATGTTAAGTATGCACACTGTTTTATAAACATTTATTACCTGGAGTTTACCTGGAGAGAGTTCCGGGGATCAACGCCCCCGCAGCCCGGTCTGTGACCAGGCCTCCTGGTGGATCAGAGCCTGATCAACCAGGCTGTTGCTGCTGACTGCACGCAAACCAACGTACGAGCCACAGCCCGGCTGGTCAGGAACCGACTTTAGGTGCTTGTCCAGTGCCAGCTTGAAGATTGCCAGGGGTCTGATGGTAATCCCCCTTATGTATGCTGGGAGGCAGTTGAACAGTCTCGGGCCCCTGACACTTATTGTATGGTCTCTTAACGTGCTAGTGACACCCCTGCTTTTCATTGGGGGGATGTTGCATCGTCTGCCAAGTCTTTTGCTTTCGTAGTGAGTGATTTTCGTGTGCAAGTTCAGTACTAGTCCCTCTAGGATTTTCCAGGTGTATATAATCATGTATCTCTCCCGCCTGCATTCCAGGGAATACAGGTTTAGGAACCTCAAGCACTCCTAGTAATTGAGGTGTTTTATCTCCGTTAAGCGCGCCGTGAAGGTTCTCTGTACATTTTCTAGGTCAGCAATTTCACCTGCCTTGAAAGGTGCTGTTAGTGTGCAGCAATATTCCAGCCTAGATAGAACAAGTGACCTGAAGAGTGTCATCATGGGCTTGGCCTCCCTAGTTTTGAAGGTTCTCATTATCCATCCTGTCATTTTTCTAGCAGATGCGATTGATACAATGTTATGGTCCTTGAAGGTGAGATCCTCCGACATGATCACTCCCAGGTCTTTGACGTTGGTGTTTCGCTCTATTTTGTGGCCAGAATTTGTTTTGTACTCTGATGAAGATTTAATTTCCTCGTGTTTACCATATCTGAGTAATTGAAATTTCTCATCGTTGAACTTCATATTGTTTTCTGCAGCCCACTGAAAGATTTGGTTGATGTCCGCCTGAGCCTTGCAATGTCTGCAATGGAAGACACTGTCATGCAGATTCGGGTGTCATCTGCAAAGGAAGACACGGTGCTGTGGCTGACATCCTTGTCTATGTCGGATATGAGGATGAGGAACAAGATGGGTGCGAGTACTGTGCCTTGTGGAACAGAGCTTTTCACCGTAGCTGCCTCGGACTTTACTCTGTTGACGACTACTCTCTGTGTTCTGTTAGTGAGGAAATTATAGATCCATCGACTGACTTTTCTTGTTATTCCTTTAGCACGCATTTTGTGCGCTATTACGCCATGGTCACACTTGTCGAAGGCTTTTGCAAAGTCTGTATATATTACATCTGCATTCTTTTTGTCTTCTAGTGCATTTAGGACCTTGTCGTAGTGATCCAATAGTTGAGACTGACAGGAGCGACCTGTTCTAAACCCATGTTGCCCTGGGTTGTGTAACTGATGGGTTTCTAGATGGGTGGTGATCTTGCTTCTTAGGACCCTTTCAAAGATTTTTATGATATGGGATGTTAGTGCTATTGGTCTGTAGTTCTTTGCTGTTGCTTTACTGCCCCCTTTGTGGAGTGGGGCTATGTCTGTTGTTTTTAGTAACTGTGGGACAACCCCCGTGTCCATGCTCCCTCTCCATAGGATGGAAAAGGCTCGTGATAGGGGCTTCTTGCAGTTCTTGATGAACACGGAGTTCCATGAGTCTGGCCCTGGAGCAGAGTGCATGGGCATGTCATTTATCGCGTGTTCGAAGTCATTTGGCGTCAGGATAACATCGGATAGGCTTGTGTTAATCAAATTTTGTGGCTCTCTCATAAAAAATTAATTTTGATCTTCGACTCTCAGTCTGGTTAGCGGCTTGCAAAAAACTGAGTCATATTGGGACTTGAGTAGCTCACTCATTTCCTTGCTGTCATCTGTGTAGGACCCATCTTGTTTAAGTAGGGGCCCAATACTGGACGTTGTTCTCAACTTTGATTTGGCATAGGAGAAGAATACTTTGGGTTTCTTTCAATTTCATTTATGGCTTTTAGTTTTTCCCGCGATTCCTGACTCCTATAAGATTCCTTTAGCTTAAGTTCGATGCTTGCTATTTCTGACCAGTGTCTCCCTACGCATTTTAGATATATTGACCTCTTTTAGCCGCTCTGTTATTCTTTTCCGTCGCCTGTAAAGGGAGCGCCTGTCTCTTTCTATTTTACATCTACTCCTCCTTTTTCTTAGAGGAATAAGCCTTGTGCATACATCGAGTGCCACCAAGTTAATCTGTTCTAGGCATAAGTTGGGGTCTGTGTTGCTTAGTATATCTTCCCAGCTTATATCGGTTAGGACTTGGTTTACTTGGTCCCACTTCATGTTTTTGTTATTGAAGTTGAATTTGGTGAATGCTCCCTCGTGACTAGTCTCATTATGTCGGTCTGGGGCTCCACGCATACATGTCTGAACCTCAATTATGTTGTGATCTGAGTATATTGTTTTTGATATGGTGACATTTCTTATCAGATCATCATTGTTAGTGAAGATGAGGTCTAGTGTATTCTCCAGTCTAGTAGGCTCTATTATTTGCTGGTTTAAATTGAATTTTGTGCAGAGATTTAAAAGCTCGTGTGAGTTTTCATCAGAGCTGCCTCCTGGTGTTATTACTGCAACAATATTATTTGCTATATTCCTCCATTTTAGGTGCCTTAAGTTGAAATCCCCCAGGAGCAAGATGTTGGGTGCAGGAGCTGGAAGATTTTCCAGACAGTGGTCAATTTTTAACAGCTGTTCCTGGAATTGCTGGGATGTTGCATCCGGAGGCTTGTAGACTACCACAATGACTAGGTTTTGGTTCTCGACCTTTACTGCTAAAACTTCCACTACATCATTTGAGGCATTAAGCAGTTCTGTGCAAACAAGTGACTCTGCAATGTACAGGCCAACCCCCCCCTTTTGCCTGTTCACTCTGTCACATCTGTATAGGTTGTAACCTGGGATCCATATTTTATTGTCCAAGTGATCCTTTATGTGGGTCTCAGTGAAAGCCGCGAACATTGCCTTTGCCTCTGCAAGCAGTCCACGGATGAAAGGTATTTTGTTGTTTGTTGCTGGCTTTAGACCCTGTATATTTGCAAAGAAGAATGTCATCGGACTGGTGGTATTGTTGGTACTGGGGGGGGATTTTTTTTCCAGCATTAGTATCTGTATCTGTTGGTTTGGAGTGGAGACTAATTCATTTTAAATAAATAGGAAATTTTCATTAAATCTATCGACTGAAGTCACTACTATATGTTTTAGGAAAATACATTAGGGCCCCACTTATACGGCACGTTAGGTTCCAGGCTGTCACCGGAAAGCAGACATCACCGGAAGGCAGAACACCATTTTTTTCCATTTATAAATGCATATAAATGCCAGACAAGTAGTTTACACTAAATTATATTAAGTTAGTAATAGAACTAGGCATTAAAAACACACAAAGTAAAATACATTCACAGTACATTCATTACTTATCTTAAAGTATTTGTAATCTTAATGTAGGGAGAGAGGTGAATAGTACTTATTTGTAGGAAGTCAGGTGCAGGTAGCCCAGGTGTAGGTAGCCCTGGCTCCCCATCTCATACTTAATATACGATATTTAAAACATCCCAGAGAGGTAAAATACTCATACAGTACACTCATTATTTACCTTAAAATATGTGTAGTCTTAATATAGGAAGAGAGGTGAGTAGTATTTATTTGTAGGAAGTCAGTGTAGGTAGCCGGTAGGTGTAGCCCGCCTGGGCTACACCTACCGTCTACCTACACTGTGGCCCAGAGCCATATTATTAACATCAACATACCTTGTTCACTGAATTTAATCATTTCTAACAACTACCTTTAGATGCCATCATAAACGAAGGGAGAAGTAATGAATAATTCATGCCAGAAATTGTAAACAAAAGCGGAGTGGGGGAGTGGCTGGGCCAAACGCAGATTCATACATGTTTTCTCTGATGGCTGAACAGAGGAAACGTAATGTTGTCCCTCCACCCGGCTACCACACAGCTCCACAAGTATTATTATCAGAGCACATAACATATGCAATAAATGCCAGACAACAAGCTTACACTAACTTATATTAAGTTAGCAATAGAAATAGGCATTAAAAACACAATAAAAGGTAAGATACACACAGAGTACACTTATTACTTACCTTAAAATATTAATATTAATGTGTGAGAGGCGAGTGGCAGGGTGTTTATTGAATAAAATCAGAATGACACACCATCATCCTCTAACTTAGCACTTAAAGCAAGAGGCTTACGACTCCTCTTTTTATCACAGCTAAGCTTAGATGCCATCGTCAATGAGATCCAACTAGTTAATGAAAGAGTAAACGAGAGAGAGAACAAGATACAGAGTTCAGACAATGTAAGAACACAAACTGAACAGATAGTGGGCAATCACTTGGTCAGGCGAAATAAATGCGTATTAATATGTGTCTACTTTTAGTTCATTTACGTACGTTTGTAAGAGTTTGTAAAACATTTACCTTGATATTTTTTTATTATAATAATTACCTCACAATACAAATATTCTTACATTGTGTACAAGTTGTACAAGTTAGTACAGAATAAACAAACAGCAACACACCATTTTTAGAGTGAATGAAGATATTATTATTATTATTATTATAAAAAGCACTAAACCCACAAGGGTTGTGAATTGCTATATATAGAGTGAAGGCATACGAAAAGAATATATTTCTACAGTTATCCCCCAGTTTGACTAGAGAAAACGTAATTCTTCCAACACTACCTACACAGCTGCTTTGTAAACAAATCTCATATTTATGTCAATTTCTATTCTGTAAGTGTATGTATCATGTTTATATGCTATGTAAAGGGGTTTCATATATAATTTTGAGGAAAATGTCATAGACGGATTAATGAAAATGCCTATATTAATGTAAAACAAGACATTTAGTGTGCCCAAGAGTGATTATTATTACGTAGTATTGGCGCCATGAGTAGAGAGAGACTTAGTGATTTTAATGTGTACCTGCACACCAGCACAGTGT